GTTTTAATGTATATACTTGCTTCTGAATCTCACTTTATATACTACCCTCCTTAAATAAATGTTCTCTAGATTATACATAATTTTTATAGCAATAATTAAAATATTGATAATTAAATAAAATAGTTCATAGAAATTTTTAAATACAGAATAAATAAGGAGGGCAGTAAAATCACTATTAATCGTCACGTCTTGCCTTCTCACACATTCAGTCCAACAGAACAAAATTATTCAAGAACTCCTTGCAATGATCGTTTTAAAATTTCATTAAATATTGTTCATTTTAGATATCATAATTATCCTTGAATTCAGGAAGGAATTAAACCTCAAATTATGTTAAATCTTTGAATCTTTTTTTAATTCAGGGAGGAGTTGAACGTGGACCTCATGTTCGCGTATGAACAATCGTAAAAAGCCAGAAGTGATTATATATAATGATTGTCTGATGAAACTATGTGTCGTATAATGGTTTCCATGGGCATTCAATAGACTCGTGTGTTAAATGTCTGACTGTGTGATCCCGAGAACGCGGCGATGTTCCGCGTTACGTGATAATAGAAAAGTAAACGTGAATAGAATAAAAGNTATTTCAGACAGAAATACTTTTCGATATTAAATTATTGTGTGCACAACACGCGAGGTACTCGAAGTAAAAATTGAAATTGATCGCTGAACGTTTCAATAATAAAACAACAGTAATTCGAGCAGTTTCATTTTTTATTTGCCTGGAACACTGGTTCCAATTTTGAAGATCAGTCAAGAAATTAAACGTCGTTATTAAACATGTACGTATGTATGCGTGTGTGTACGTAAATGTATAGAAGCGTTTTAAGCGTAATTCGAAACTGCGTTAAAACACACGAATAATCACGAGCAACACTCACGATCATTTATAGTTATTTATTCCGCGTACAACTGAACGGCATTTAACATCGAGAAACACCGAGCAGAATTCGCATTCTCTGTTTGCATCCATCCACTGCCAAATTTCTCTGCATGATTTTATGATTTATTAAACGAACTATCGCGCGACGAATCGGTCGGCCACGGGCCACACGGAATTTCGCTTTACCCGAATCACCGCCTCTATTCTCTTTTTTCCCTGTATTCCCTTTTGCACTTTTATCGTTATTTTTATTATCAATCGGCCAAGTGAAATAGATTTATTGCACAGAATGCCTGAAACGTTTTAAGCCACGAACGAGCGACATATTATTAACAATATTAGAAAGAAAAGTTTCCCTGCTTGATAATTCAAAGTTCGACGAGATGTGAACTAAAAATCATTTAATAGCGAATTTAACTGCATTGAAAGAAAACTTGCTAGAAATATAATACTGTCACTTCACGAGAATCGTTTGCTAATGGCGAAACGTTCTAACCGCGGAAGAAGAGAAGCTTGCGTCTCTCGTAATTCGTATAGAGCCGATTTACCCGGGAATTCGATACACTATCGAAACAAGATGCATTTTCCGTGACTCACTAGGAAATGAGATGAATCTTTCGATTCAAATAATGGAGCGACTAGAATTAAAGAATCAGCATTTCAATTCGACTATCTTTGGTATTTAAATAAAAAATAGTAAATTAAAAATAGGATCGATTATTGACTTTGAAATTATTCCTTTTGCCCGGTGTTTAAAACTGTTAGAGTGATCTGAGCTGATCACGCTTCGCGTGACTCGTTAATATTTATTTCTAGGCGCTCCGGATTATTAAATGATCCGAGAATGACTGATACACGTGATCCAGCGGAAAATAGAATACAGAAGAACGAAATATCGAGTAGTTCGTCGGCGAAAAAGTTCTTTGGACATCGTAAGCAGCTAGGAACACCAACAACCAACGGCTATGTAGTAGCTACTGCCACTGAACTCGGCCAGATATGAAGCGGGGATCTTACCTTTCCCAACGGCGTCGACGGCTGCCCGGTCGGCGCTGGGTCCTTGATGTAGATGTTCCACGTGGCCACGCTGTTTATCGCCTTGTCCGCGGCGTAACACCTCCACAGGCACTGAATCAGCATCGCGGCCGCCGGTATCTGCCGGTTGAAGTGCTTCTGCCGTTGCTTCTGCTGAACCTTCAGCGCGAACCCCGAGCCCAGTATCCCCTGAAACCAGAATTTGAGCGCAAAGGGTTAAAAATATCAAATTTTTGCCTATTTTTCTCATTACTGATTTTGTCAACTGAAGGAAAACTTCAATTGACAAAATCAGTAATGAGAAAAATCACTTTTTCAGTGGAATAGAAACTTTTTAATTAGAATTTAAGAAGAGGGTTCTGAGACACTTAAGACAAGACGATTAAGGGTCGTGTAATAAAATGAGTGTCGTAAATGAAATCGTACTTACCGCTGGAAGTGCGAAGAAAGATATAGCGAACACGCTAAAACACGAGGCGACTATTTTCCCCATCCACGTCTGGGGGACAGTATCACCGTAACCAATCGTAGTCACAGTAATCTGTAAATGAGAATTTATTCGTACATGTATTAAAATTCGAATAACATTGCAAAAGAAATAAAAATCATTGCTATCAATTATATTAAAACAGGCGAGATTTTAAATCAGTCGAGCAACCGATCAATAAATGATTAAAATATTCAGCCGAAGGGACAATGGGAAACACGAGTAAAGCCAGAAATAAGACAAAAACAGCATCGATGAGCCGAGTGAGCGAGGCTAAATACAACAGGCGAGATTTTCAATCGGTGGGCCAATTTATCAATAAATTCCTGAGACGCGTGGCAGCACGGCGGGGGCTTCACTGCGGTAATTAACGTAAATCGAAAAACAACCTAATTAAAATTTCAATTCCGAGCCCGCAGCGGAGCGGTGCCGTCCCTTTTTTCCTCCTCTGTCCGCCGCCCGTCGCGGAAAATCCAACAGCGATTGAACAACGGCAATCGATACGGTCGACGTTGATCAAACCTGCGTTTAAATCCTCTGCCTCGGTCGTTTCGACGCTCGCTACCGGCGCCCCCGATTCTACAAACGGGGGCTGTAAATACAGACGTATTCCCGAGTGATTAGCGGTCGCCGCTCAATAAACATTCGTTTGTACCATCGGCTCGGGCTCGATTTGTTTTCAATGAATTTGCGGGGAATCGCGGTGCTCCAAATTACATTATTATCGGCGTTAATAGAAATCGAACGAGCTGAGCCGAGCGGTTGGCTCACGTATAACGCTGGGTGCCTTGGGTTACGATTAAACGACGTCGATATGTCGAATAATAATAAAATTCAGAGGTATGATCGTATAATTTCAAAGTACAATCGAATTTTATAGATTATCTAGTTGTTCTCAGATTTACCAGAACACGAGAATGGATTTAGAATTATTATACTATTCATGGTTAACATAATTATTTCAATTTTAAATAAATTTTCTCTGATCGATTGATGTAAAGAATAACCAGAGGGGAAGAAAGCAAGTAAATATAAAAGTACGTAATTATAAATTAAATAAAGGTTGAATTATTGAATTACTCACCACGCCCCACCAAAGAGCGTCGGCGTAGCTGGAGAAGTCTGTTTTTCCATCGGGCCCGACAGCATCTTTTTCGGCAAGGTACACAAAGTAACTGCTGAAAATAAGACCTAGGAACCCGATGTACAACGTCGTGATCAATTCCTGAAACAAATAAAAAGCACCACATGAATTTCACCGACGCACACTGCAATTTTCCATTGCTAATATTATTTGCCATCGTACAATGCAGAATGCATAGAGCGAAAGATGGGAACCAATTTGACTGCTCGTGAAAGCTCTTTTGTTATACGGATTGAAAATCAAGCTATTTGACAGAATATAAAATATTTCAGAGTATTTCGTACGCCTGATTTCTATTCGACTCTCTGGACCCAATTGCAGGTCAAAGGAAATTGTACAACAAGGGAATATTTGAATCAGCGATTTTTTTATAAATATCTCTGACAAACTATACATATATTGTGACGATTAACGTACCTGACGATGAATGAAAACGACGGAGCCGAGAAGTCGCCACGTGCCACCCTGCCGGTCCACGTGGAGCATTCGGAGTATCTGCAAAAATCGGATACCCCTTATAGCGGAAGTGGCGAACACCTGGCCGTTGCTTCCCACCGTCAACACCACCATGGACGCGACCACCACAATTAAATCTTGAAACAAACGACAATCACTTGATCAGTATCGTCTAATAATAAAACTTGCTGAGTTCTACTAAAATATTGTACATCCAAGCACTCAGATACGGTGAAACCTCGATTATTCAATATCTCGATTTTAATTCCTCATAAAATCCCCTGAAAGCTTAACTCGAATTTATCGAAACTTTTATAACTCTCAGATTTCCCTTCCCTTGAGGTTCGACCGTATTTTTTACTATTACGTTTCATGCCCATTGTGTGTAAAAAATATAAAGAAATAAATAAGAGAAAAATTAATGTCTACAGAATTTTAACTATTACAATCATCACTAGCTTAGCATCGCTAATTGCAAGATCGGCTCTAAAGCTGATCGCCTTTTTCGTCACAGAGAGACTGGAACCCCGGCCGAGTCGTGGCAATTAGAACGATTACGATCGGACGGGCATGGAATCAGCGTTGGTACACGGAGCTAATTGAACAACGACTAGACATGCGTTTAGATTAAATCAGCGAATATGCACTCACCTATGATACAAATCGGTTTCCGTATGAAACGGAGCCTGCCGCAGTAGCCCATGTACTTTGATCTGCAGCCGGCACTCCATAATCTCACCATATACTCCACTCCGAAGAACACCACCAAGCATATTTCCTGTGAACAGACGTTCACCCGAATTCAAACGTATTTTCCATTTCTATCAGATATTTATCTCAGGGAAATCGAAACCATCGGTAATAGAAAGAACGTCAGAGAAATGAGTCGATCAATTGAAAAACTATGAAAGATAAAGAATCGCGAAAAGATTTCAAAGCTAGCTCAAACACGTAAATTCGTTTCTGAATGGAACTAACGTCCCGGGGAGTTAACGACGAGGCATTAAAAAGCGCGAGAATAGGCGAATCGATGGTTTAATCGAGCCCGAGGTATGCGAAAAAAATGGCACCGATCTTAGCGATAATCATAATAACACCGCGGGAAAGCATTTCCGTGATGACTCCCCGTGCTGGCGCAGTCATTAGTTCTCGGTTCTTAAAATAAATGTGCAACTAGCACGATAGTTATATAGAGATGCCGGGTAGTATATCGATTCTACGACGCGAGCTTTATCGCAGTGTCACACTGCGCCACGAAAAAATGGGAACGTCGATGACAGAATCGCGACGGTCCCCGCGTTTCCCTGGGTAAACTATTCCACATTTTTTTTCCCCTCATATCTCGTGACTAATATTTAGGGCAGCAACTGGACAGAACAATTCCTCTAATTCGTAGAATTCACTGTTTCATTCTTCCAGAATTTTATTGATAATTCTTCAACCTTTTCATGCTTTCCTACTAGTCGGATAATCTGTTTTAAAATACTAATTGTGAATGAAACAATAGAAAAATTACAATTTTCCAGCGTTTCTCTTTTTAAGGATGTATAGGCTATATACTTAAACGATGCTTGCATGTTGAATTTGTTATTATAGATTCCTATTACTATTAAAAAGCTAAAATTATAGTGATTTCANCTTAACCCCTTGAAATACAAATAAAACAGAATTTGATGCGTCCGAAAAATACTATTTAAATTCTATTACTAATTAATACTAGTTAAGTTTTTGACGTCTCAGACGTCTCAGTCTATAATGGAACGAAAACGTCTCCCAGACGTCATTGTACATCATGTGGTTAACATCAAACTTCATTTTTTATCGAGAAATATTTAATACGTCATACGATTGAATGTTTAATTATTTCAGCAGTTAATAAGTATTATAAAATGATTAATGACAGTGTACTTACCATCCAAAAAAGTGTTTCGTTCGCAAAGCTACTGTACTGGTCTATCGTTGACAAGACACTAAATATGAGGCACACCAGTACCACCATGAACCTGCAAGAAAGACAAGATCCATCAGCAATTACAATAAATAATATTTAAATTACGAGGGCCAGAGTATAATTGATATAGAAGCAGGTGTGTTTTAGTTAAATGAAATCTGTGTAAAACAGGGGAATAAAGAAGAATCCGGGCTGTGTCAGATTTGCATAGAAACTTTGCAAGGTCTAACAAGTTTTCGCGTTTCACGAACTCAACTTCTATGTAACCGGCACATTTACGTATGTATGTACGTAGATACGTCCTTATAGTCGGAGATACCGGTGTTCGTGTTGGGAACTCCCGGGAGATGTTCCATTTGCTATTCGACGTTCCGTGACATTCAAGTTGCCGTGTTTGACTTATTACGATCATCTGATTTCCACTTCTAATTTTAACTTCGGTACCGCGGCTGCATTCTATATCTATCTACGACACCGTGAAAATCGTTATTGTGCTGGTCAAGCTCTCGGCACATTAAATACATTATATAAATAAAATTGAAGAATAATTATTCTTGAAAAATTGAAGAATAATTGAAGAATAATTATTCTTCAATTAATATTATANATAGTGAATTCATTAAATCTCGTCACGTTATTAACTGGTAGCAGAAAATTTGCCGTTCCACTTTGATTTTCGACCACTCATGATTTTTCAGTTATCTAATAAACTGATAATATTTAGATTCTATTCATCGTCAAAGAAGGTCGTTTATAAATCGACTTTCTTATACATGCATAAATTGCGTATCGATTTTAACCATTTTATCATCGAGACATTTAAGCCGCGATCAAACTGGAACGACGTTCACGACACCCGCTTCCGAGTTTTGCAATTCATCTGATCTTCCGGTTAACCGACTTCTATGTATATCATCGCGCTATTTTTAACCCAAGTAATTTATCGCAGTTGACATTTTCACTGTAATTGTCTACATATATATTGATCATTTATTCTAATCGATAAGCTGTTATTTCTATATAGACCGACGATTTTCTACTCGTGTAATTAATCACGCCATAATGTAGACCAAATGTATGCATATGCAGGTAGAGTCTGTTGTTTGCGGGTATACGTATCAAGATAGTTGCACTCTCCGAAACAGTTTCCTCTCCTCTTAATTACGGTAATTAACGTGATGACACGTAATCCCAGCGGCCACCGATATACGTAGATACCTGACTTCCTATCTAAGCTATCGTTCGCGAGTATTCGTACAATTAATGAAAGCGTACAGCAAGTCTAAGGTAAATGAGATTTAAAATATATTAATAAAAAACGTTGCTGTCATATAAGCATATTATTTATAATAAAATAAATACAGTGGCATGAAAAAGAAAACAAGTCTGACCAGAAGATTGCCAATATTTAATCTGCTATAATTTCGTAAAGAAAAAAAATTNCGTTATTAACTGGTAGCAGAAAATTTGCCGTTCCACTTTGATTTTCGACCACTCATGATTTTTCAGTTATCTAATAAACTGATAATATTTAGATTCTATTCATCGTCAAAGAAGGTCGTTTATAAATCGACTTTCTTATACATGCATAAATTGCGTATCGATTTTAACCATTTTATCATCGAGACATTTAAGCCGCGATCAAACTGGAACGACGTTCACGACACCCGCTTCCGAGTTTTGCAATTCATCTGATCTTCCGGTTAACCGACTTCTATGTATATCATCGCGCTATTTTTAACCCAAGTAATTTATCGCAGTTGACATTTTCACTGTAATTGTCTACATATATATTGATCATTTATTCTAATCGATAAGCTGTTATTTCTATATAGACCGACGATTTTCTACTCGTGTAATTAATCACGCCATAATGTAGACCAAATGTATGCATATGCAGGTAGAGTCTGTTGTTTGCGGGTATACGTATCAAGATAGTTGCACTCTCCGAAACAGTTTCCTCTCCTCTTAATTACGGTAATTAACGTGATGACACGTAATCCCAGCGGCCACCGATATACGTAGATACCTGACTTCCTATCTAAGCTATCGTTCGCGAGTATTCGTACAATTAATGAAAGCGTACAGCAGGTCTAAGATAAATGAGATTTAAAATATATTAATAAAAAACGTTGCTGTCATATAAGCATATTATTTATAATAAAATAAATACAGTGGCATGAAAAAGAAAACAAGTCTGACCAGAAGATTGCCAATATTTAATCTGCTATAATTTCGTAAAGAAAAAAAATTGTCCAGCAATTTAAATTAATTTAAAAGGACTCTACTTTTTATTTCTCTCTGTATTTGACAAAAATGCGAACACTTTCTCAAAAGTAGTTTTATCCTTCGATATCAAACAGGAAAATCCGGTTTGCTGTTTGGAAATTTGTCAACTTCGAACGATTCGTTTAATAAATTCCTCTTACGATTCGAGGACGGAAATTTAGTACTCCCTTAATTCTGCACGCCTTTGAACGCTACTGATCTCACATGGGCAACAGTATGAATCACTGTAAGTGACTCACGACTTAAGTACAGGCTGCGCGCGAGTAATTAAATCCGAGTTGATTTTAAAGGAACAACCGTAATTACCACGCGGTAATCAATTATTCGGTGAATTACACATTCGGCTCACGAATCCACGTCGCAGGTGCTAAATCGATCGAACCTAATTAAGGATGTATTGGCTATATACTTAAACAATGCTAACATGTTGAATTTGTTATTAGCATTATTCTTCCGACGTCTGATTTCTTTTTAATTATACGAAATACGTTTTTCTAAGGTACATAAATTTTTAGAATTGACTGTATAGCCAATACATCCTTAAACGGATGTTCCCATCGTTTACGAATTCTACAATTCTGAACACGTCAGATGTATCGATTATTTCAAATAAAACAAGAATACATTATAAATATCTGGTTGAAAGATCTAACGAATGTACATAATTATTATGTCGACCGTAAAATCTACACAGTGACTCGGGCGAAGGAAGTGGAGGAGGTATGAGTGAACAGTAAAAAAAACTTAAGTAAACTTCTCGGCCAAAAGGCTGAAATGAAGCCATATATTACTTAGGTAAAAGTAAAGTTATTGAAGCAGCAATTGCTAGGGGCAGTAAATGTTTATCGATGCATTCATCGCACCGGGCGAAATTGATATCCATCACAGGATCGTTTTAAGTTTACGCGATCCGTTATGACGCCGTTTCAAACGAATTGATTGCAGTATAATTGTTCGTAAACGTAGAAACGATGCTTGCATTATCGACCAGACCCTCGCGTACAGATATTGTTACGCGCAACGTGCATTACGGTTTGCGACAGTTAACAAATAAATGTAACTCAGTGACAATGTCGAAGGTTATATTTAACTCTCCGCCTGCACAGTGGGTCATTTCCGATCTAAAGCGTTTTCCATGTTTCCCGAATTAACATTGACTAGGAATCTCTACTAGGAATTCTAACTCTCGTCGAAAGTAGGAATTAAATATTTCCTACAAATTTTATAATTAAAAGAATTTCTCAATCGCCGGATTCAAAGGATTGACGATGTTCCATCATAAATAAAGTCACAGTTCTAAATGAATGATCGTGTTTTCGATCGAATGCAACGTTCGAAAAGTCTGAAATGCAGACGAAGCACGGCGTATCCCGAGATTCCGAAACTCGGCCGAGACGCTTTGATTCGATTTAAGGCTAATCTCGCGTGCTATCTCGACTCCGCCGTCTCAACGCTGGATTAGAGTCATTAAACGGTAGACCGTGACGTTTAAAACAGCGAATCAGAAAATTGTCGGCGATAAAGCGAAACCTTCGGTAGATTTACTTTATCAAAAGGGAGCAGCAGCATTTTTTTTTAACGACCTTCTAATATGGCAATTTCTCAGAGAATCGTCGATACTTCATTTCAATAATTCCTTTTATCATTAGAAACGATTGAACGAAATGAACGAAACTAGACTCGTTCTGAAAAGGTCGAAGTGGCAACGAGTACTCGGAAGGCAGGATAAACTAAAAATGGATTCGGTTATGAATCGTGTGATTGGCACCGGGGAGGAAGGCATTTATCATGCAATAGCGTAAAAAGGGAAAAGAGGGCCGAACATAGACAATTATCATAGTAGGTCAACGAAGGTGACCCGCGGAGGAAGAGGAGGCCGGCAACGAGCGGTGTGCAGGGCCGGGGAATTATAGTCGTCCGACACGCCATCTTAAAGCGTGTTCCACGGCGGGCCGACTTCGTTAACGCGCGTCGCTCGTCGTTACTTAACGAGCTATCGCTCGCTAATAAATTACTTGCACGAGCAGACGAATCCGCGGTAATTACCGAGCCCTCCGATTTCCTGCGGTGGTTTTTACCCTAAAATCAGTCAGAGGGTGTCTCCGTTCTAACCCTGACGACGTGTCAGGAAGAGAAATCGCAGGCTACTCTTCAACGTATCGTCACCATCAAAAAACGTGTTGAAAAATCTCGCAATTTTTTGTCTCAATTTACTATCTCAAAAAAGTTCTTCGTTTACGAATGGCAATGAACACATGCAATTATGCACTTTGTTCTTAACGTTAAGTAAAGAGCAATAATTCTCTTATTCTTCAAACTTTATCTATTCTAATATTAAATTCATATATATTGAAAAAATCATTTTATCCATATGTCGAATTTATTAAACACGTGCTTCTGTTATACTTTGTCTTTACCGATATTTGTAGTACATACGCACATCTGCTGCTAGTTTGCTCATAAATACGACAGGCATGCATGTAGATACATACATAGATCAATAATAAAGTCCAGGCTTATGATGCTCATTATACTCAAACCCAGCACAGATCCTGTTTCGTACATTTTAGAAGTGAATGCCTATTCGTATCGGTGTTAATCCACGAAATGACTAATAATAATTATAATAACTTATTTCATATAATATCTGCCTTTCAAGATAATTTAATTGGACACTCAATACTGCATTTAATTCCTGGAAACATTTTCTACTGCCTTCTGAATAATCAAGAGTTTCCAATATGGTAAACCACTAAATTTAAAATATGATAAAAAACGAAATTGAATGAGAAACTGCGTTTCCCTCGGATCGCGTTACACGCGATGGATCGTATTGCGGCAATAATTCTTTTTCTATTCGCAACCTAAGGAAGATCGTGCACCGTCGGCTACGATTTCCTGTCTAAAAATAACAACCGTCACGCAAATAGTCTGCATACGTATGCATCGCACCTAATAATGCCCCTATTTATTCAGCGGTAAAAGTAGGACGAAGCATTAAAGTCTCTCGGTTTTCCATTTCGCGCCGTTCCTACGTGATGGAACGAGAGAAAATCGTTTTCACTCACTGTGTTAAGAAACTTTGTTAAACACTCTTACGGGAACTCATGCTCGTTTCTATTTCATTCTCGATGCCAAACGATTTATGTACATGCGAAATATTTACACAGAATCTCCCATAAGTCCCAAGATAATATTGCCATAAATATTATACTACGTATTAAAGAACATAAACTGTTCTCGTTTCCTGCCATTAGACTCAACGTTCATAGTTACTAACAATTTTGATCTAAACATTTTTTGATGATACAAATGAGAATCCACGATTTCATAAATTATAGTACAGATTTTTACATGCAGAAATTGCAAAAATATAATACAAATCTTTTTTTAGAAAAATCTGAATTTACATTTCAGTGTCACGAATTTTTTTCCTAATGAGCCCAGCCTTGGAAGGAATAAAACTACACGTTTAAACTGGAAAAAAGGTAATTAAATCACAAGTAAATTGAGGGTAAATACTGGCAAGCGATGAATGAAGATATTAATAGCATCGTGCGCAAATGGAATGTATAATGTGACAATAATCCTAATGAGGATGTAATTAAGAAAGAAGATCTGCAAATCGTTGATTGTTCCATCAGTTTCAAACATCCCAATTGCATCGAATCGAGCATAATTTATTACAATACATTTATTCGATCATATAGAATCTGTATTATAGTTATCTGAATTGCGTTTGAATATTAATTATTAATATTCATCATCCTTACTGTGGACGTACTGCAAATGAAACAATTAAATACTCATACAACCAATCAATATTAACGATACCACGAATTTCATATTATCATCGAATTCATGAGTGGAGTTCTAAATAAATATACACGTCCTTCTTGAAACAATGCTATCTTTGTGCATGTCCATCCATTATTAAAACTATTCTTCACGATCTATCAAACATTAAATTTACGACTTAATAAAGTTATTATTAAAATGGAAATAAATTGTGCGTCGCACTTTGCTATCCGACCGCGGGAATAAATCATTTTTTGAAGTGTCGATACAAGGTCTCGATGGAAACGACCATTTATTATGCAACGACGTGATACTAAATTATTCACCTAATAATAAAATATACAGGGAACAATATAATTAACTCGCACTTTGACATGCATTTATAGAATTAAATTAATAATTGTAGTTATTTTTCCTGAATTATTACCAGACAAAATTTTATTGCCTAAGTTCAACAACTATTCCAGTTAATTTTTACTGTTTGCCTTTTATCTTTATTTATTGCTAATATCCACTCTTGTGTGTTGAATCAATTTTTTGTTTATACAACACGAGAACAGATTTCACTGTATTCTGCGGCAGGATTTCATGCATGGACGTACCGTGTGTATTACTCGTTTTTCACTTGGAGTGTGTGAATAATAAAACCGGGCATGTCGATGAAAACAATTAAATTATAGAGTTTGAGTGATTGTTCGCGGCAAGCGAAAAACAAATTTACGGTTCCGGAAATGAATGGCGTGTTCGCCACGGCGTAGAGGGCGAAATGAAAGATGCTTCCGTGGCAATTTCCGATAGCAACCGTTTTCGCGTTGCGAAAACTTGGCGCCCCGATCCCGTACTACATTATCACTCAATCGGCTTGGTCAATTAATTTTGATGTACGCAACCGCGGAAAGAAAAAGGCCGAAAGTTTCGACTATTCAATTCTAGGAAACTTAAAATCCCGGAATGAATTATGAATAATAATGTAACAGCTTTCTAAAGAGTTCACATTTCTTTTGTCTTTAATTTAAATTTCATTAAAATCTGTACAATGCAGTGATGTTTAAAGTCAAAGAATTTTTCTTTTCGTCGACTAAAGGAGAAATTTCAGAGAAATTCAAAGATTCTAAGATAAACTGCAAGGTATAGAGAAAAACGAGATACGAAGGAGTCTCACGGTAGAGAATAAAAAAAAGAAGGTTCGACTGTAAACGTGTTGGAGATCGATCGACTTCGATGTCACGTTCTACCGTGGCGTGTTTTGTTTTCGTAATGAATTGTTTAAAGAGTGTTCGCAGTAACGCCACAGAATAAGAAAGAACAGTAGACTCACTCACGGTGGATGCAATTTCCTTCTGAAAATTTTCAATTTTTCCGAGATTTTCTCAAAGGGTGAGTCTCAAGCTGTATTTTGTTGTACGTTATCCCATCCCGATAGATAAACGATATTCGATCTATAAACTGAATATATCAGGAAGGAATGTTTCACTTCTAAGATAAGCCCGTAAATTCAATGGGACGTCGGTGGTAAGCTTGCACTCATTCATTGAGTATACAGAAACTTCGATTGAATTTATTTGATAAATGAATGGTGGACTCAGCTTTTGTCGTTTGTCAATATTATCCATGTTTCCCAGGCATACTTTAACTTCGTAAACCTAGCATCGCCAGAGCTTGGCCTTGCTTATTAAATTACACAATTTTTGTACATGCAAATCACCCTTTGGTTCCTAAGATTTTGTATAAACGTATCGAAATCAACTGGCAGGATTTATCTTTTATTTTCGAACTAGCATCGAGCCCAGTGGTACCGACAAATAGAGAGAAATGTAAAACAGTATTTCTAATCATAGTTAATCCGAAGTTCGACTCGTACGAACGTACTCACACAGTGAAATGATAGACGAAACAGATCCAGCCTCCAGGGTGTTCCAGGAACACGTAGAGCCTCTCCTGGAAGGTTTTCCCTTTCTTGTGATGAAACACGTACTTGGCTTTGAAGGCCTGATCGATGGGCAGGTAGATCGGGTAATAAGGATCGGGCACGCCTTGGTTCAAACTGGGCGGTTGCTCCTCGGTGGTGTTCATGTCGTCGTTTATAATATCATCTTTCTCCTTCTTCCTACGATACTTCCTCTTCAACGGCGTGGGCACCCTTTTGTGATGCGCCTCGCCGAAACGTGGCGACCGGAACCGTCTAAGAAACGTGAAACGACAGTTGGGCGAGGCCGCCGCCTCTTCCACTCTCATCGCGTTCTCTTCCGTGTCCTCGGTGTCTTCCGTCTCGCTGCCGGGCGTCTTCAGGGCAGCCTCTTCGGACTCGAGGCTGTGCTTCGGCACGAGTTCGCCCTCGCTCGTCTGCAGGGCGGCGTACGCGGCCGCGGCGCTCGATCGTTTCTCCGCAAGCCTAGAGCATTGCTCCTTGCCCCTTGGAAAACTCTCGTTCGCATCACCTGAACAGTTTCCCCGTTCGACATTCATCGCCCGTCTATCTTATTTACGTTTGATCGTCATTTGATTGTACGTCGCGTCGTAAACGGCACATCTCTGATCCGAATGCTTACCATTTCCTGATTTTTATTATATAAATCGATGCTCTGATTCAACTTTAAATAAAACTAACAGCATCGTAAGATCGTCTAATTATCCATTGTTAACTATCTATCACTAGAAACGCTAACATCTTCCCCTGAGGCAAGTTTTATATCCAGTTCCCAAACCGTTTTCACAACTCGCTGGTAATTTCTACTAATTGTCATCTACCCGACCGTTCTAATTGGTTCCCAACGCGATCGCTGTACATACAGCCAGTTTCACGGAACACCGAGCAATGGCTACGAATCGCGAAATCCTCTAATAGTAACGATCATGCCTACGTGATCCCCAGTCGACGATTCTTATTTATTAGATACAGTTTAATTCAGTAATAAAATAAATTCTACGATATCAGATTTTTTATTAAAATGCTGAAGAGATAATGTGCGAAATTAGATATGAGACTCGCGTCATTTATATAAAATGTTTATAAAACGAATTTTGTTTAGTTTCAATTGTTTTTCAGATTAGAGAAATGATACTCTGTTGACGATAAACAGTGTTGTCAAGGCGACGTTTCTGTCGGGTCATATTGACAGCTCGATGCGGCTTATGTGGTCTGAATTTTGTGACAGCAAATTTCTGGGCAAACGAGCTTGGGGATTTCGTAGCTAGTTATCGATCGACAAGGTACATAAACGGATGTCTCGACACGTGAAATTGTTCTCGTTTACTTGCCGACCGATCCAAAATGTTTAAGACAGTCGTATCAGCAATTAAAAACTTCCAAAGTGAAATATTAATCCAACGAATGAACCCAAGTGTGACTCATCGATTGTAATCAGACTTTCTAAAATGTGAAGATCATTGCTAACTTGATTGCTAAGGGTGGGTCTTCTATACGTCTATTGAAATTTTCAAGGAATACAAGATTTTCTGAGAGGAATTCGAAGAATATTAAAAACACTATGAAAGTAAGAATTTTGTACTTTTATAATGACCTAAAGAGAAATTCCCCTAAGAGTAGTTCACCTAATACCATTCCTGAGATAAGCTCAGCCCAGTTTTAACAAAGAGAGAAGATATATTGATTACAAATAAATATAACTCGCAAGACAATCTATTTTAACGTCTGCAATGAATTCTCATGGACCGAGGATCAACACAGCAAGAATCGACAGACCATTCTTCTTTCTCTTTTCTTAAAAAAGACACAATTGCTTATTCACATTTATCTTCAGTTTCATATATCAATTAAAAATCTCGTGCTACTTTAAACCCACAAATAATAATTTCTTATATACAAGCGTGCCTGAATATTTTTACAATTATATTTCTTCTCAGTTCTGATTAGACACGTACGTAGAATCAAACGACCTCTTTCCATCGGATACCTGAATGTATGCACTTCTTGTAATTCTGGTAATCCTGGCAGTTAACATGGTACTCGGGGTGACACTGGTGTCGTTGCTGATGCTGACTGATCGGTGATTTCAGCACGCTTAGCACCATGTCCTCCTGCGACGGTACGATCCTCGTTAATTGCCTGCTCTGTCTGAACAACGTCTCCTGTTCGCCGCGGTTCATCCTGCATCCAAGTCGTCCTCGTTGCAAATAAAATCCCGGATACCATTCGTGTCTGCCTCGGCCCGGACCGCTGCCTAGCATAACAGCTTGCAACATCCCGAGGCTCTGTACCAACACGAACTTCCGTTCATCTGACCACCAACCATCGGCCGGTCCCGCCTGTTCATGGTCGTCTTCGCTTTTCCAGATTCACCCTTTTTTCATCGATGAATTATTTAAAAATCCAAACACTGTTACTTTCTTAATGTCATGTCGAGGTTCTTAACTTAAGTCGGGACAAGAGAATTAGAGATCGTCATTATTTTTATCACCACTTGATAATACATTTTTTTAAATATTTATTCGTTTAATGGATTCTGATTAATATCGTATTGCAATTAACGACCAATTCCCTCTTTCGTTTCCCTCACTCGTTTATTTCACCGCACGATGCGTTTTCATGGTTCACCTTTTTTCCAATTATTCGATTTTCGAATTTGCACATTAATTATCGGGGAGGATGTTTACGGGTCACTCGGCGATAAAACGAATTTCGTAGTAAAATAAGAATGGATAGGAGAGGATCGGAAACGACGTTATTCAAACACCATCATTTCATTACTGATACGCGTCTGATGCACTGTGCATTAATATTTATCGATTTACCGTCGGTTTAAAATGTTAATTTCGCTCGAACTCGATTAGATAAATTAAAATGATAAAGAGTCTTCGGTCGTCTATTATAAACGATTTAACGTGTTATTCAGAGTATTCTCAGAACACTTGAAAGTTCGGTCTCCGTCAACGGACGATTGCTTTTGTACGAACGTCGTTTAATTCCCGATGTTTAAATTCAATACAAGTTTCTGTGTACATTACTGTCAATTGCGGAATTCGCTATTGTATAAACTGACCCCGAGTGATCTTCCAACGATGTAACTTCAAACTGACCAATTAACTTCGAGTCGTAAGACCGTGTTCAGATAAAAAAATGCGAAATCCTGCGCTTTGGACGTTCACACATTTTCACTTCTCGATCGTTTCTGTCGATGCAAAATAATTGAGCGACGATATTTTCCTCTGAGAGTCAATGAAGCGTGATGAAAGGTTATCTGCGGCGAAGTGAAACGGCGATTAATCTCTCCGTCGGATTCGATCATTTCCCTTTACCGTGATTCGGATCAATCGTAAAATAATCGCCGCACATTCTAATCTCTCTTTTATTAGAATCGGTGGAAGAATCGCGAGGAAGTTTGTTCCTTAAGCAATTTCTTCTCCAACTTCGACGGTCACCTTTTTGTTCGTTTTTCACGATGGAACCTCGGTTTCGCTCGTTATCCTCTCGTTCCTTCGTTTTCAATCCCACAGAGATTATTATACAGCGGCAAAGTCTTCATCGATTATAATTAAGTGTACTTTTAACGTCCGACGATCTTGCAATTCTAATGGAAAATATTTCACAGGAAGAAGCACACAGTTTCGGAACAGAAGGAAGATGCGATCGGTCCAATCTTCTCCATTTCAAAAATTAGCACGACTCAGTCGACGTCGTTTTGTTTCGATCGACGACGGAAATCTCTTCTCAAATTCGATACGTAAAATCGTACGGTCACTTTTCGTTCAGACTCGTCGGCTCGTGGTCGACTCGTCCTCGGCGCGGCGGTTCACCTCGAGACTCTTTTAAACGGATTACGCCTTTTGCTTTTCCGCAACGACCTCGTGGACGCGATTGGCATCCTCGGCGATTTCCGGATCCTCTTGTCGATCGCTGCGATACGACGCGACATCGGGGACAGTCGGCATTCGATTCCCGTCTACCGCCGTCGGAGACGCCAGTCCCAAAGGGTCTCTACCAACGATTTCCGTTCGCTTAACTCTCAAACGTGTCTACAATCGCTCGCAAAAGTCGGTTTACGTACGCTAAGCGCCGCACGCACCATCATAAATTAATTGATCATTTTACAGATTAATCGTTAAAAAATTCTGTACAACATTATTGAAATAAGATTAGGGAAAGACGTTCATTTTTTTATAAAAGCTTTACATGCAGGATATTTTACCTATCATTCGTCTATCAATACAATTTTCATTTTATGCTGGAATGAATTAATTACTAGAAATTTTTAAAGTAGCATTGACAGACCACGTATATAGAGTTTTGCGATCGACTGTACGTATCAACTCTCAACGGCTGTGACGTTTGCGAGATAAAAGGAGAAAAGCACTTCGCTTCGTATACGAACTGATATTGTTTCTCACTTAATTCCTCTGTCACCTAATGTTCGATATCTCATCATTTAAATCACTCCAAACATTTTTCTGATTCCCAAGCTTCCTCGAAGCTCTCTATTTTTTTTAACAATCATTGCAAATGGCAAATACAATTTTACTTATAGCTTAGTACGTAAAATACGACTTCTTTTTACTATTTTTTACACTTTTAATGAAGAAAAGTCTACAGACTGATAATTGAGTGATATGAAAATTCTTTTATTACATCCTCCCCAATGCGTTTGCCTTCGAAAGTAATAAAGGATTAAAAATAAGTTGTTGCAGAATAAGGTGTTTCCGGTGGAACTTAATCCTCATTTTCTCGAGTGTGCAACGACGCGGTTAAAAGAAATATACGTATAACGTAGTGTCCCAGATGATGGGATTTCCTCCTCTGACCTTTCCGCGATTCCGAACGGGGCTCAAACGTCTCGTAAATTTTTTAAAAGCGATCCCGGTTTCGCGTTTGAATACCGTTTTATATACATACATTATATTCGTCTACCCCCACCGTTGTACATCGTAACTATAATTATCCAGTGGAGCACGAGAAATCCGACTAATAATAAGATCTCTCATTATATGTACTTCGTTAAAAGAAACTCTCTCGTGACGTGATTAAAAGAAACTGTCTCGTGGACATAAGTCAAAAATTCGAGTAAGAAATGTTTCATTTATTTCAGATAATATAATAATTTATTTTAAGTATTATAAATCGTCCTTCAATTCCGTGTTTTAATTAATCTCACGAATTCATGTGTATACGAGAAAACTGTATTTCTCTTCGACACGTTCGTATCCAGAAATCATTGATTCAAATAACCAGATCGCGGAATGTAAAGATTATTTGTTGAATTCAAATCAAAGTAACGAATACAGGATTGTACGAAGACTGAACGAGATCTGGACGAAATAATTTATCGAATATTTTATATGAAAATAATTCCAGATCGCTGGAAGGAGAGTCTTTCATCCGAGACTCATCGAGCCCGCGTAGCCGATGGATACACCTGAATAGAATTTACTTAAGTCCGACTTTATAAGGTTCCAGCTGCGTTCTCCGTCGTACAAAATGAATAAAGTATTATTCCCCAGATGGCATATAAAATAAAGGAACACGATTTCCATGGGATCTTATCTCAGTTATCCTCGTCACGGTTCGCGTGTTTAACGACGGGATTACGTTTCACGGAACCTCGAATTTAACCCCTTGCCTCGTCGACCGTTGCTCACAGACCCGATAAAATTTTAATTGAAAGTTCCAACAGGAGAAAAGCACTTCGCTTCGTATACGAACTGATATTGTTTCTCACTTAATTCCTCTGTCACCTAATGTTCGATATCTCATCATTTAAATCACTCCAAACATTTTTCTGATTCCCAAGCTTCCTCGAAGCTCTCTATTTTTTTTAACAATCATTGCAAATGGCAAATACAATTTTACTTATAGCTTAGTACGTAAAATACGACTTCTTTTTACTATTTTTTACACTTTTAATGAAGAAAAGTCTACAGACTGATAATTGAGTGATATGAAAATTCTTTTATTACATCCTCCCCAATGCGTTTGCCTTCGAAAGTAATAAAGGATTAAAAATAAGTTGTTGCAGAATAAGGTGTTTCCGGTGGAACTTAATCCTCATTTTCTCGAGTGTGCAACGACGCGGTTAAAAGAAATATACGTATAACGTAGTGTCCCAGATGATGGGATTTCCTCCTCTGACCTTTCCGCGATTCCGAACGGGGCTCAAACGTCTCGTAAATTTTTTAAAAGCGATCCCGGTTTCGCGTTTGAATACCGTTTTATATACATACATTATATTCGTCTACCCCCACCGTTGTACATCGTAACTATAATTATCCAGTGGAGCACGAGAAATCCGACTAATAATAAGATCTCTCATTATATGTACTTCGTTAAAAGAAACTCTCTCGTGACGTGATTAAAAGAAACTGTCTCGTGGACATAAGTCAAAAATTCGAGTAAGAAATGTTTCATTTATTTCAGATAATATAATAATTTATTTTAAGTATTATAAATCGTCCTTCAATTCCGCGTTTTAATTAATCTTACGAATTCATGTGTATACGAGAAAACTGTATTTCTCTTCGACACGTTCGTATCCAGAAATCATTGATTCAAATAACCAGATCGCGGAATGTAAAGATTATTTGTTGAATTCAAATCAAAGTAACGAATACAGGATTGTACGAAGACTGAACGAGATCTGGACGAAATAATTTATCGAATATTTTATATGAAAATAATTCCAGATCGCTGGAAGGAGAGTCTTTCATCCGAGACTCATCGAGCCCGCGTAGCCGATGGATACACCTGAATAGAATTTACTTAAGTCCGACTTTATAAGGTTCCAGCTGCGTTCTCCGTCGTACAAAATGAATAAAGTATTATTCCCCAGATGGCATATAAAATAAAGGAACACGATTTCCATGGGATCTTATCTCAGTTATCCTCGTCACGGTTCGCGTGTTTAACGACGGGATTACGTTTCACGGAACCTCGAATTTAACCCCTTGCCTCGTCGACCGTTGCTCACAGACCCGATAAAATTTTAATTGAAAGTTCCAACGCTGCGCCTCTTTTGACATTTACACTTCTTTTTTTTTACAATCAACGCCACTGAATAAAAGTTTCGCGCATCTATCGTACCCGCGGTGTTCAAGTGGAAAAATCGAATGCTATAATTGAGCACAGCGCCTTGAATTAAATTTATTTTTGTACAATCGTAGAAGTCGCGTGTAATTTACATTTTAAACAAATTTTTATTCTGAGGATCTTCTTCAAAGGATTAGGATTGATCAGATCTATTTTTTAGTATTATTAGTTTCAATTACGCTAAATGAGGTAAACTAGTTTAATATAATTTAAGACAATTATTAATTGAATTTCTATTTTCTCTTCGTAATCGCAATATTAAAAAATGTAATATTATTGAGTGGAGAAGGTAGTCAAAACATTTCGTTAGTGCAACGTTAGCATTTTAATGGATTAGAACGAAGCACGCCGCCTTTTTATCACGAATGGAACTGACCAATACGTGCTACAATCGATATGTCATCTCTTGTTAGTAAAATAATGCGGCCATAACGTTTGCGGTAGGAAAATCAATTGTCCCTAAGTATAATACACATCAATTCCCATCTATGTACATACAGTCGCTCGCAATAAAAATCGCATAATTATTTATCAATCTTCATTGCTTAAAATTCAATTCTAATTCTAATTCTTCTATAAACAATAGATGATTAAAATTATTTATATCCAATTAATTCAGTCAGTTAATACATTAGCCATTGTATAAAAAAATCGTGAAAATTCCATGAAACATGTTCTATTTCAAATGTAAATCTCTTGGATGATCTCCAATAGAATTTAAATTTATGAAAGAACAATTGCATGGAAAACTGCATGTGGCTATTTGCAAATCTCCTGCACGATCTTCGACGTGATTCAACCCTCTTTATACTTTCACCTCGTGATCAATACTCATTTATACCTTCAGCTAATTTCCAAAGGACGAGGGAATAAAATCCTTACAAGTGTACATAGAATTATGTAATTTTCCATGCGAACGACTGTGTATCGATACGACTGTATTAGCTGAATAGCGTAATAGACACCCCGGTGGCATCTGAGCACTCGGAGTTCGTCAGCCCTGCGCCTTCGTCCCAGGAGGCCACCGCGGGAGAAAGCCCGGGCTGACTTCCGGTACGAGACGCTAACTTTACGATACCCAACTTGACGTACAAGTAATTCGCTATCCGATTATGGTTAAATAAAAATCTAATCAAAGAATTCCATAACAAACATAAGAATCCCTCAATTGATTTTGTACTTTCCGAATTATTCCTACCCTTCAATCAGTTTTTTTTTACACACAGAGAAGTCGACCTTACGATGATTTATATTACATAAATTAATAAAATTGTAAGCTCGATGCAGCTTGAGAATCAGATTAAACTTCGATACGATCTTCATACTTAAATATTTGATTAGAATGATTCGAGAGGAGTTTAGCATGATCGACTTCTTGCAATTACGAATGACCTGATTTCTTGCTCAAAGTCACACGATTAGATCTCCAATACTTCTCACCTAGGATGCTAATTATTTTTATTAACGATCATAAATCGTTCTTCCTGGCGATTACAATATTATTCACTTGTTCATGAGAATAACTAAACATTTATCGCGGAGGACGACGAAACGTGGATCGAAGAGGGGCGACGTACGGGTGGAACGGTCGGATTTCGGACGCGTGCGAAAGTGATTCACAGTGATCCACACGTGTTCTCACTCGCGTGCATCGGCTCGCGTGACGGTAGACGAAAAACGCGTAGTGTGCCCAGGGCGGCAGCCCGCAACCAACTGTGGCTCCTAGCCATCCCGTAGTTGCGCCACTCGCCGCAACCCCGAACAGGGGGTGACTCTCGCCACTTACCGTTTGATTCCACTCCGCGCATCGTTTGCGTCCGCGGATCGAGAGGAATACGATTAGCGGTCAGAGACGAGAAACGATTCGAATGCATTTTTAATCAACACACAAATCATACTTGTTAGCGAGAATCAACGAACAGAGAATGGCATTTGGCTAGTTAAATAAATCGTAGGAACAGGACTTTGACAGAGGCTTCCTAATTTACACGAATTTCGACTCGTGCCATTAGGGGTTGAACTCCATTAAAAAATGCGGCAAAAGGCAGATGCTTTTTAATCATACGAGAATTATATAAAGGAGATAAAGTAGGGTTATAAAAGCGTAACTCTCTCAAGTTACTAAATGGCAGTTCGGAACTGTACAGAAGTTAGTGACAGAGCGAATGCATAATTGAATCCGAAACTCGCGGAGCGGACCATACAAAATCGTTGCTAAATTATTCCTTCGCTCCCATCTCGCCCCGTTTTCATACTCTACTTTACACGATATCTGCTTTCGACGTTTTAACCGCGTGTCATATACCAACTGAATCCACAGAGAGAGCGAGAGAGAGAGCGAGAGCGAGCTACGCGTACTGATGCCAATAGTTTCTATATTCGTGGAAAATTATATACGCTCGTAATTACGAGCTATTAACGTTTCCTTATCGCACGTAATTATCACAGATTTTGCGTTTAGTCAAACGAAAACTGGACACATATGCACATACATACATATATAT